GTGAGAGACACATCTCTTGGCGTGGACTTTTCGTTCACAACCTTTCAATCATTCATGTGTTGGCGTCTTAACAATAAGAAAATTATCCCAAATACCAATTTTGATGTGCGAAATGCCAATGCTTGGCGATTGAATGTGATTTGAACATAATGTCAGTTCTGTTTTTGATGAAAGAAAAAAAGTGCCGACAATCGTGATTTAATTTTTTAAATGCTAGTTATATAGATTGAATAATTTATTAGTTATTATCTGAATTGCATTATTTATTTGTATGACTTAAAACCAGAAAATAACATAGTTTTAAGGCATTTAAATTTTTTTTTTCAAGTAGTCAAATGTACATACATATCATGAATTCTAAATTTGGACTAAATAGAACGACACTGGATTTGCCCTAAATAGAACAAACTAACATGTATGTTAATAATTCTTCGAAATTAACACAAAGTCACTGTTAAGTAAATGTTTTGTGCAAATAATTTTTAGTTTTTTACTGTATATTATTATTTGTTTACATCCCATATAGTTTCAATTTTTAGAAATATCGAAGTATTTTTATTATCATTTGTATAGATTTATTTACTTTGATTTCTAAATTATCATAAAACTCTACTTAAAAATCCATCCAACTTAATAACTAATTGAAGGTTAATATTGTAGGGCAACTTATTTTTAGAATCTGATTTTGGCATCAAATTAAGTAATTTCATAGTTTTGAGTATTTCTAAGTAATTATTATCTTCCATACTATGCATACCCACACGAAGAAAAAAATTCTGGTGAAATTACTTTAATGTATGGTAATGACATTTCTTGTCAAAGGAAATCATAATTCTGTTTAATAAACTATAATATATGGTATTTAAACCAGTCATATGGTAATCTATCCGTAACGGTTTACAGGAAATTTTGGTTTTCAAAATTATTGTTCTTTTTACCACACACATTTAGTAAAAATTACAAAAATAAAAAATAAATTTAACTAAATATATGGTTTTTTATGCCATGATAAAAATTACCCAATTTTGCACTTATTTACAAGTTTTATCACACATCATAAAATCATATTTTATTGTTAACTTTTGCATTTTATTCACTTATTATATAAAACTGATACATATTATGTTAAGCTGATACCCCATATTTTATTGACTTATTTAAGCGTATTAATCTAATACTTTATTTAAAAGAAAATAACTACCTCTTTATTTAAGCTTCAGAGGTCAAGAAAACTTGATTGAACACAATAGGCCTTGGCCCTCCGTGGGCTGTCTCGCCACTGAGTTTCGTTTCTTTTCAAAGGAATTAACTATAGATCAATGAAGATGACCATTTTGTTATTATTGCATTTATGCCTACACTCGGAAAAAAAGTATAATCAAAACTATCAGAATATGGTAAAATTTACCGTGTTTCTGTCTCTAAGGGAACATCAAAAAGCTCGGTACCGAAGTGTCTTTGGTAATGACTTTGGTTTAAAAACATAATAGACCTCTGTGACTTGAGACTACAAGCATAATTACAACATTTCCTTCTAGAGATTTCTAATAGTTCACAATTTTGATGTCTANATTTTGGTAAATTAATAAAGATAAATAGCACTTATTAAGAAGAACTTTAAATTTTATTAGTAACTATTAAAACACTATCAAAGTAGCTTTGACATCCATAATTAGTTTGATTTGGAAAATTAGAATCAGGAGAAAAGAACTTTCTATTTTGCTTACTTTGGTACTTTTCGAATAGCTGGGGATTGGTAGATTCAACTATTTTTTATTTACTTTTTTTTCTCGTTTTTTTATGTTATTTCTTTTTTTTTTATGTTCCTTAATTTTCTTTGTGAGGGTCTGTTTTTTTCAGCGTTCAAAGAATATAAATAAAGTAAAGATTGTAAAAAATTTTAAAAAATATGTATATTGTCGGAAGTCTACATTTTTCGGCGACTTTCGCTTACAATCTGCTAATCGAAAAGTACCCAAAATTCGTAATTTCTTGTGCAGGAGAGTTTTTTGAACATTTAAATTCGTTTCTATTAACTTATGGTCTCGATGATGATTTCATCGCAGGGAGTGCCTGATTTCGAATGAAGGTGGCACAACGAAGGAGCCGGTATATTGATAGAAAATTTAAAAATGAAAACAATGAAAATAATGAAAAATATAATAATGACAACCGACGTCATCAGGGGGTACCAGCCCCGGAAATCATAAAAATACAAAACCTTTTCTATTGAGAGAGCACTGAACTTAACCAAACTCTCAATTATGGTTAAGGATTTTCGTGTGTAGTGTGCTTTTGTTTTAGCAAAGGAATATTTTTAAGTAGGTCGTTTGAAAAATATTTTTCCTTTTGTATTAGTTTATGTATTTTAATTTTGTATTTTGTTTTTGTATTCTCTCTTCCTGAACTTCTTGTAAAACCTTTGAGGTGCAAAGAGCAAATCTTAGACATTTGTCGTGCTCTCTCAATAGAAAAGGTTTTGTATTTGTATGACTTCCGGGGCTGGTACCCCCTGACGACGTCGGTTGTCATTATTATATTTTTCATAATTTTCGTTGTTTTCCTTTTTTTTTAAATTTTCTTTTGGTTTCAATTTTCTTGTGGAATTTCTGCTGCATTGCACAAGTTTCGTTGGGAATTGTAGTTTTTAATTGTTTTTTGCATGATTTTTTATTTCTCTTTTTATTACCGGTATATTGATAGCAACTTTCCCCTAAAAGAATAATTTTTTTAATATTGTCTTATGTTGTGATCATTTAAGTTTCGCACTGTTGGAATACATGATAAATTTTTCTTGTAAGATAAGTAAAATTTCGGACTTGCATTATAAATAAAATTTACTCTTGTGTAAATGTTATGAGGAAATGTGAATGTTGCTTCAAATTTTATATTATGACTTTCATTCTAAATATAAGTAGACATTTAATATAAAAATATACGGTAATATAAGATATAACGCTTTATTAAATTCGAATTGTAAAATGTTACAAATTACATAATAACTTTTACCTTTAGGGTTTACTCTCTTTAGCTAAATAAAGTCACATAAGATCAATGCATCAGATATAGTATAATATCACTTTTTTATTTTGTTTCATGGAGTACGTAATAAAGTTTGTATTTAGCACTTTTATCATTAAATATACTGTTCAGTAGCACAAGTATGGAGCTTGTATCACTAAACAGTACATTTAGCCAACCACGATAATTGTAAATTTTTGTTTTATTCAATGTAATATTTCTACTATTTTACTTTTTACTACAGGTATTATGCAATGCTAATAAGCTACAAAAAGAAACAAGTCATAAACCTTGATTAATGACAACCTAGTTATGGAAAAATGTTTGTAAAGTCAGTTTAGTTTATTCATTAAACATAAATCTTTTCATACTTGTGATGAAAGTTCAACTATTTGTTAACATAAAAGATAGATGGACAAAACGAATTTTACCAATATTCAATACTTTGTCAGCTTGGCTTCTAAAAATTTCTTAGTTCAATTATTTCTGTTTTGTAACTAAAAAATGTCTTGTTTTTATGCTTGAGTTCATTAGAAATACTTGGGGCACGATTAATTCTAGTCAAATCGAAAATTATCTACCAAACTTCATGGGTCTGAAGTATCTTCAGTTGAAGGAGTGCACTCTCAGAAATAAAACTCTCTCTTTTGACTAATCAGCAATCCTTGAGACTTTTAATAATATTGTCTGGAAATCACGCGATTTGTGACATAACATGAACTCTCAAATATATCACGTAAATTCTTCCTCAACTGGAAACCTCTTCGTAATATGCTGTGGCAGATTATTGACTAGTATGACGAAACTAGAATGAAGACTATCGAAAATAAAGTGAGCCGACTGGACAGTTTTGGTACTGTGGGAGATTATTGACTAGTATGACGAAACTAGAATGAAGACTATCGAAAATTAAGTGACGAAGTAAGCCGACTGGACAGTTTTGGTACTGTGGGAGTTTAATTGACTAGTATGACGAAACTAGAATGAAGACTATCGAAAATAAAGTGACGAGATAAGCCGACTGGACAGTTTTGGTACTGTAGGAAATTATTAACTAGTATGACGAAACTGGAATGAAGACTATCGAAAATAAAGTGACGAAGTAAGCCGACTGGACAGTTTTGGTACTGTGGGAGTTTAATTGACTAGAATGACGAAACTCGAATGAAGACTATCGAAAATAAGGTGACAAAATAAGCCGACTGGACAGTTTTGGTACTGTGGGAGTTTAATTGACTAGAATGACGAAACTAGAATGAAGACTATCAAAAATAAAGTGATGAAGTGAGCCGACAGGACAGCTTTGGTCGTCAAGGAGTCCTCGTATCAGGAAAATCCCGGGATTGAATCCGTTTTTGCACATCTGTGTAATTTTTATCTCTGTTCTATCTGTCTTTCTTGTGTTGTTAGGGCAACATCGTTCTACCTATATGGTGCCCGAGATAAAGCGATTAGAAAAGTTAAATATTTTAGGCAACACGATTTTTTTTATTTCTCTATTTATTTATTTTTGTTGAAAAAATTGATTGATGAAATATTTCTTTAATTTTGACGAAATTCATTTATTCAGTTCCTCGAAGAATTGACGATATTTAAAACAACATTTAGAAACTATACTTTAAAGTAAACTAAATGTAAAAGAAATTTTCTTTTGTTTGACTAAAGCAAAAAACGTAGGACGCATCACTTCTATCACCACCGAATAATCCCTCCCACTTTTTCAAAAGTGATACATCCTGCTTTACTTTATTTTTTTGTACTCTGACGTTCTGACATAAAAAGATTTTCTTTATCATTTTTAATTCACCTAAAAATCGCAATCTCTAATATTTTTATTTCATTTTTTCGTATTTCACTTTTTTCTTTCACTTTTAAAGCGATGTACCATTTTCTTAATATATTGCCGAATGATTTACCTGATGATATATCTAAAAGGAATAGAGATTGTGTTATTTAACATGAAAAAATAACGGAAAGAGTATTTTAAAAATCTTTATTGTCGTTATTTATTTGACAAGAGAGAAACTCTTATTTTAATATAAACTAAGAAATTTGTATGTACATAACAAAGACAGAAACAGGTATACATTTACAATTATTTCATATACATTCAATTTTATTAAGATGAAAAAACACAGCATCTCATAACTTTTGGGTGAGGGGTAAAATTGTTAAAACTTAGATTTTAATCATGAAAAAGGGCTTCACGAATATGAATATTTCGAGTAAGACCATGACAGGGGTAATTGTTGAAAATTCTATCAATCATCATCATCAGTTTTTAGAAAATAAGGAAAAATAACATCTCTTAATAGAAAAATAATAAATCATTACTGCTCATTTTTAATAACAAAAATAAGAAAATTAAATTATGTAGAGTACCACTAGCGATTAAAGTGATGAGCACAGTAGAAAAAAAAATTAAGTTATATTTTAACTGCATTTAAAAAAATCAATTTTAGAGTGCAACAAAGAGTTGGTAATGTATTTTTGCATGAAATAACGTCTTAATATTTAGTTGAAAACTAACTTTCTATCTTTACAACCGATTACTACATGCACTGGGAAAAAAAGCGTAGTCAAAAATACCAATATATGGTAAAATTTACCGTATTTCTGGCTCTATGGGCACACCAAAAAGCTCGGTCATTTTCACCGAAGCAATTTGGTAATGATTTTGGTAAAAGTAAAAATAAAATATGATTTTATTACCATACTGGTTGGTAGTAATTGCGGTAAAAATTAATAATTTTATCATTATACCTTAGACTATGATATAATGATAAAGATTTATTCCTGAAAAAACGATTTATTCCGCTTCATTTACTTTTCAGCTCTGTATTTGTTACTAAATGTTTGGTAATAAGAACTATAATTTTTAAAACCAGAGCTTCCCGCTTGCCGTTTCCCTATGAGTGGGAAAAAATATCAAATGAATGGTTTAAATACCATATATTTTTCTTTATTAATCCAAAATTATAGTTTGTTTGTTTTTACCAGAAATGTAATTGCGTTACAGTACCGCAAATTTTACCAGAATTTTTTCTTCATGTGTTTATATCCATAAATTTGAATGCCTTAAAGTTTTTGCATAATATAATATTCTTTCACAAATCTCTTCGAGTAATATTCATCTTACGTTACATAGATATTATTGAAACATTTAAAAATATATTTCTTTCTACATTGCATGATGTTCTTGGGATGTAGGAATGAATATTTCTTGAAAAAAATGGATGAATATTTCCTGAACGGAAAAACTTTATTTTTATAAGTTTGAAAATAAAAGATTGCTTCAAATTTAAAACAAGAAAGGAAGAAAAAAATGAGCAGAGACTCAGAAAAGCTATTGTTTTATAACCTTCTTACAAACTATTTTTTGGCTTGCACTAAAATTTTTATGATGAGATTTTAATTTTGTAGTCCATGTAGTGTAATTTTGCAATCGAGAGTTTTTAATTTTGTTCGAGTTGATATTGGTGGGGCCTTCGAGCTCATTATAAGCGAGTTCAACTATAAAAATCACAAAATAATAATAATAATAATAATTTTCCGTAAACACTTTACAATTTTATTAAATTTTACTGGATTATTCACAGAAAACTTTCTCAAAAACTCCTCGAATAAGTTCCGTGAAATAAGATTTTCAAAAAAAAAAAAAAAAAAAAAAAAAAAAAAAAAAAAAAAAAAAGGGGAAAGCTATAGTTTAAAATATCTGACAGATATAAACTGCCATTATTTTCCTGCTACTTTATAAATTTAATGTTTAGAGTAATTACTCTTAAATCAAAAAATATAATTAGAAATAAAATTAACTATTGAAACATTGCTAAGATATATCGTTCACTGCATTCGTGTGCTTTTATATTGAAAAAAAATTAGTTACAAACGATAACTTTTCCAAATAATTAAAATAAGAGAGCACTCTTCTTCACTAAGAACTTAAAAGAAAATGCAACTCATTTTCTGAAATAATGACTAATTTATAATGCTTTTGAAAATATTTATGAAAAGGGTATTTCAATATTCGTAAAGCTTACTCTAAATTAGGACTTACTTAGTTGATACTGATAATGAATAAGTATAGCTAAGAAACATTGGTACTCTTTTAGAACAAGTGCATGGCTCAATGCTAAAAGGAAAAACTAAATACTTTATTTATGATAATAGTTCTATGTGAAATCTTCAGATCACTTGTTACAGATAAGAGTTCTCAATAAAAAGAAGAAGAAAAATACAAGCCAATAGAACGAGACATTAACATAGAATTTTTTTTAAGGCTGTTGAGTATTGAAATAATACTAAAATTAATGTATTTTTTCAAAAATAACAAAGGTTGAAAGTGGATAAACTATATAAATTTAAAGGTAAGAAGTAGTATTTTTATAGTCATTTAAGAACTACAAAAACTGTTGAAGAATCAGATACGTTTATTGTATTTAAAAGTTTTCTTTGAGTTACATAAAACTTGCTGCTGATTGCCGTTAATGACGTAATCAATTTAGAAAGTAACTTTAAACAAAACAAACAACAAGATGTCTAATACTATATCTATTCAACAAATAGCTTTAATAAAACATAAGCACAAACATAAATTAGTTCTTTCTCACTTATTGCAACTGGGGTTTCATTTTTTAAAAGAACATGCAATGCTGAAGCACCAAGATTTAGAAAATCGAACAACTCTCCTCATCGTTTTGACTCTTCATAAGTGTCACGCAAAAGAAGAAAAAAACTTAATAAAACTCATAAATGTTACATCTATAATTACAAATTGCACATACGAATTTCATCAAAAAGCAAACTTTCACATCAACAAAATGTTAAGTTTGGCTCAAGTCCAACTGTATCATTCTCAAGCATGTGAAATACGTTCTCTATGAAGAATTGAGGCCAGAGGATCATGCCTGTGGTGGTGTTGGCTTAGATTCAGGCTTTGTCTTTGCTCAGGAGGATGTAAGCTGCCAGGCGTATGATGATGGTGCCTGGGTGAGGGCGTCCGGCTAGATTCTGAAGTCGTAGATACGGGTGCCGGACTCAGACAACGAGGCGATCCGGGAGAACTGGCCCCATCGAAAGATCCAAAACTACCGTTTGTATTTTCTCCATCGTCTGTCGTCTCACCAGGACCCCCTCTGTGGTGATCCGAAGATGAAGAGGATAGTCTATGGTGAAGAGGGCCCCCTCCGTTGTGGACCCCCTGTGATCCCACATGGTGGGTGCCATGGGACCCTCGCTGAGATGCCCCTCCTGAATTGTGGTGATGAGACAGCTGTTGCTGCTGCATTTGCTGTTGCAAAAGTCTGCTAAAAGAAAAATTATTTTAGAAATATTTTACTAATACGCAAAATAACAGTTAAAATTACATAATTTTTAAAATGACATAATATTTCAAACTATAAATAATTGTTGCACACAGAAATTATAGAAAAATCTCCCAAAGCCAAAGCAAAATGGATGAAATAAAATTACTATATAAATATTATAACTTAAAAAATGCATCGAGTAAAAAAGTATGGTTAAAACTTAACAAAATATGATAAAATTTACCATGTTTCTGACTCAATAGGAACACCAAAAAGTTTGGAAATTTTTACCAAAATGCTTTTGAAAGTATTTTGATAAAATTAACAATGAAATATAGTTTAATAAAACAAAAATTGGCAATGCTATTATCATATCTTCGAGCATAACAAAAACACCATTTATCCTGTTACACTTTTCAGTTTTTTTTTCTTTTTTTTTTTGCTAAATGTGTAAGAATAAAAACTAGAACTTCCGGTTGACCGTTACTATATGAATGAAAAAATTGCGAAGTGAATGGTTTATATCCTGCAGATTTTGGTTTTTAATACTAGAACTATACATATTTTTTTACCAGAAATATCAGTAAAATACAGTACGGTAATTTGATCAGAATTTTTTTCTTTGTACACAGGGTTCTTGAAAAGGACTCCAAGGTTTCATAACCTCTTCAGAATTAGTATGGAAATGCTTCTTGCGAAAAAGAATGCTTTTTGCAATGAAATCTACTGAAATAATATTAGTTTTTTTTTCTGCATATTATCATTACGGTGAAAAAATGACAGATTTGATTCAACTGAAATATGAATTACTGTCACAATCTGAAACTAATTAAACTGATAGTTTAGTAGACATAACCGAAAAATAGTAATCTTGATGTCTATTGAGTCTGAATATAGGTATTAGAAGGGATATAAACCTCCAAACTTTTCGTCAATTTTCGCACCAAAACTATGTTTATAAGTGTTTATTTGCTAATTTGCTATTAGCAAATTTGCTAAACACGCTAATTTGCTTTACATGTAAATTGTTCAAATCTGGCATTATTTCTTACATCCCCAAATATTAGTATTACCAGCTAATATTTAAGGTAATTTCTTAACTCTGCTTTTGCACAATGCATATACTATATATACCTTAAAAACCAACGATACTAGATACTTGAGGTACCTTTATCATAAAAATAAAAGAAATTAACTTTTACATAACGCGCAAGTCAGTGTAAAACATAGCTGTTAGAAGATTCCACAGAAATTCGCTACGGAGTATGCGCACAAAAATACTTATAAATTTTATTTATTAAGCCTCAAAAATAGTTTTTTTTCGCGTTATTAATCATGAAGCTTTTTGACAATATTTAGAGAAGTTATTGAATCAATAACAATTTAGTATTACTGTTTTTACGTGTCTGAAAATACTGGAAGTTAAACTACGTGATATAGAAAGCTCATGCAAAATGACTTATAAACAAAGGTATTGCTTTTCGACATAAAACAACACTTTTATTCATTGTTATTTTTTATTTAAAAATGCATGAAAGGTGCATTACAGCAAATGCATCAAAAGAACTCGATTTATCGAAACGCTACAATCTACATTCGTGATAGAAAACTCTAAACAAGAACGACTTCAATACAATACCCTCGCTGATAACCCTCTAATTTACAAACTATCTCTCATTGTGTTGGTTCGATTTTGTATTTACGTTACAAATACATAGAAAAGAATCCTAAACAAAAAATGAATAGACTATTTTTTTTTTACTTTCTCTATTGTATTGAAATTGATGATTTCAAATATCGAAAAGAATGTATAACTATCAAAAATAATGTTAATCAATGGTGTGTTTATTTGCTGTCTTTTCATTCCCCGTTTTCCATAGTTCACGATATGTTTTATTTTAATCGATAATCATATGAATAGAAATCAAATACTATTCATTTTAAGTAAAGATATAATAAATATAATTGGGTTGTAGTTACTGAGAACGTGATAGCAGCACAAGTGTTGCTCTTTGAAATACTCTTTTATGTACATAAACGTATAATTTATGCATTGTATTTATTTATCAAAGCGAAGTTTTCAGTTTGTCGAATTATAGCATAGTTTAAATGTCCTAAACGTAGTATGTATACCTTATTCTTTTGTAAATTCGGATTTTGAATAGAAAAGAGAAAACGGTTAGCAATTTGACATAAAATTCGATGATCTTAGCAAAAATCGGGTATAAAAAATTAGACAATGCAACTTACATCCAATTTTTTTTTCAATATGCGAAAGAATATATAACTATTAACTAATAATGCTAATCAATAGTGAGTTCATGCAGTGCTTTATTTTTATTCCGCTTTTTTTATAGTTCACAATATGGTTTATTTTAATCGATAAGCATATGAATTGAAATCAAATATTAATTTTAGGCGAAGAAATAATAAATATAATTGGGTTGTAGTTATTGTGAACGTGATAACGAAACAAATTATTAATTATTGTGAGGCTTTTTTTATGCACAGAAACGTCCAATTTATGCATTGTACTTATTTGTACTGTCGAAGTTACTATGGAATTGGCTTTGTGCTGAAACAGAAAAACGGCTAACAATTTGACGCAGAAATATGATTAGCAGCTTGGCATTAAAATATTATTCGACTTAATATTTTATTCAGGCTACAAAATTGGATGACATCAGTATGCACTCTAAAAAATTTCAGATCAAATTACGGTATTAAGTACCGACACTTTACCGGCTAGTTCATTTTACGTAAAATCCAATTTTACCATAATTTGTAATACCGTAATTTTAACAGCTAAATTTATTTAATCAGATTGATTCAGTGATTTTGTGGTAATTACTACTGAAAGAATTGACGGTATATCAAATTTTTTGTTCCGTAATATGTTCCGGTAAAAATGGATTTTACGGTAAAAAGTATCACTATCCTGAGTGCCGATACATTTTTAGAAAGATTTTTAAAAGAGCACGTGACTTAGAAAGAAGGACTTTATCCCGTTAAATATTATATGTATTTTTTTCACTATTTCCTCAAACGTAAACAATCGATTTTACCTAGCAATCTTTTGAAAATAAGAAAATTATATATGAAATTAGTATTTATAAATTTGAAAATTTTGCCGACTGACGCAAAATTAGCAGTTAAATTTTTTTTTTCTGTTTCATTTGCATTCTTTGTTGTTCTATCTCTAATAGTGTGCATTTTGACTCTTTTAACTCCGGTTGTAGTTATTTTAACTTTCAGCCTAACTAATGCTTTTAAAATTATTAAAGTTAGAATCACTAGTTGATAATAATGCACAATTTCTCCAATTTTTTGTATGGTAGAACTTTCATTCTTTCAATCATGACAAAGTAATTTCACTCTATTTTAATTGTAAAAAGATATATAGCGAAGAGCCTTAAAAGCAGACAAATTTCAATAACAGAAACTAAGCAGTCAAATTTCAAAATTATTCCAACAAAAAACTTTAAAAAGAATTCATATTGATAAATTTAGGATCAAATCTTTTCTTAGGGTGAAATAGCACCCAAATAAATTGCAAAAAAATTAAAATATCGTTACACAAAATTAAACTTACAAAACATATAAATTTCTGTATGGTGTGTGCATTGATAAAAATGCAAAATTATGTACTTAATGTGTGGCTGTTAATTCTCAAGAAAATTAAATAGTTCCCACAAGATTTTTTAAATAAAAAAAGAGTATGCTTGAAATTTAAACTAAGACTATCTTCAGAAAGTAAGATCACAATCATATAAATTCTTTACATTACAACTCAAAGTTTGACTAATAAATGCAGAACATCAAATATTGACTTGTGTAAAAATCATTACAAGCATAAAGTTAAACCTTATGTTAAGCATTTAAGTCTCCATACGAGGAAAAAATTCTGGTGAAAATACCGTACTGTATGGCAATGACATTCCTAATAATAATAAACATTAATTCTGGTAATAAAAGTCAAAATGTACGATATTTAAACCATACACGGGATGATTTTTCCGTTCATATGATAGCGGTTAACTGAAAATTCTGGTTTTCAAAATTATAATTCTTATTACCATACATTTTGTAAGAAATATACGAAACTGAAAAATAAATTTATCAGGAAAAGAAAAGGTTTTTATGCCACCCTCTAAGGTATCACGGTAAAATTACCAAATTTTTGTACATTATCCAAATTTTATCACGCGGGGGAGCCATCCCCTTTGCAGAGGATCAAAATTGTGATGGTATGTCTTCGGATCATCCTCAGGGATGTTTCCCAGACCGTCGCCAATAGCCCATTGTGCAGCTCTAGTGCGACGTAAATTAACTACAACAGCAACAAATTTTATCACATATTATAAAATTGTATTTTATTGTTCATTTTACCAAAATCTTTACCAAAACGCATCATTAAAAATTAGTAATAGTTTTTAACGAACATTCTAGTAGTTTCAATCATACTTTTTTTCTCTCAGTACAGGAATTTTCCCGTTTCATTAAAATTATTTTTATAGAAAATTAAGTAGTCAAACTTAAGAACATACAAATGTGATAAAAAGTAGTGACCACACAGTCCAGTTTCCGAAAATTCTACCCAAAAATTGCCAAATTTAAGGCCAAAATACTTTTTGAAAATAAGATTACGATGCAAATTTTAAAAGCGAAAACATCAAAGCTAAAAATTTCGCAGATAAACGAAACGAAACAACTTTTAACCAGTGTGGAGCCTGAATATTGATAGAATCATAAAATTAACTCTTTATGTTAAATTCTATAGAATGGAATTTCTTCATTCTTGAGTTTCCCTTCTCAGAAGTAACTCCAATTAAAACTTGTTCAGTCAAGCTTAAAATTTCTGTGAGATGAACAACTCCGTAATCAGTCACTGACAAAATTTCTCAAACAAGAAAAATTATGAAACTCTATCCGAAGAAGCTATCGATTGCATAACGAGCCAAAACGACGAGGTATCGCCTACACGAGCTCCATTATCG